TGTTATTTGGAGTTCTGTATGTTTCAGTTACTGAATGTCACATTGTTTTCCCATATTGGGAAAGTTTTCTCCTGTTACTTCTGTCCATATTCTTTTTATATCACTTGTTTTGACTCCTATTTTATCATTGATTCCTATTATTCTCATGTTGTTCATCTCTGCATCACCTTGCAGGCCATGCATTATTTTTTCCTGCATCCTAGTTGTTTTTAAGAGATGTTTTATTACCTTTTCACTAGCTGCAACAGCGTCTTCAAGATATGAAACTATCTTCACTTTCACTCAAATGGTTTTGCAAGCTTGTGATAGAGATTTTAAGTTCCTGTATATCTGTTTGACTCCACTTCATGCAACCTATTTCTTTCCTATATTGCTTATTCAAGGATTCCATCATTTTTCTAATTTCTATTTTTTAATCAGTATCTTCTTGAGAAGCAGTTATTAATTCTTTCATGATATTTATCCTTTGATTTTTAATTCAGAGATTATTTCTGCTCTGATTTCCTCTATATGTTTCTACATTTGATTCTTTACTTCAGATGTTATAAATTCAGAGATTTTTTTAATTCTGAGGTTATTTCTGATCTGAGTTCCTCTATACCTTTCTGCACTTTTTTTTCTTTTCTTCATATGCTATTATTTCAGGCATTTCAGCTGTGTGATTCCTTATTTCTTCTGTGCTAGTGTCTTCTGCACTTGTTCTATGTGGGCTCAGGGCCTGAGATTGCATTTTTCTCTGTCTCTTTGTTATTTTGTATACCACTGTTCTCTGATCTTTAGTGTAGAGCTTTGTTGCATTTATAACCCTAGCACCTGCTGAAATTTGAATGCAGATCTACAAAGTTTGAATTCATTCAGTTGTGTCTGGCTTAGGTCTGGCTTCTATGCTTAGCTTCTTCCTGCTGCAGCCCTTGGAAGTGCACCTGTTGTGCCCCTCTGGCAAGATATTCTGCTACTGGACTAGCTGGGTGGTTGGTTCTGTCCCCTAGCCTCTCTGAAGAGACTACAGCTGCAGAATTTTACCCCAGGTTGTATGCCAGGCCTGGGTTCCTTCTGGAGTTGTTCAGAGAGCAGAAAAGAAGCACTCACTCACAAGTGGGCCTCTGCTTGATCTGGATGGGTTTGGAGGGGTCCCGAGAGCAACGCTGAAGGTCTCACTCACACACCAGATTTGGGTTGAGTCCAGAGTTGGCAGGTGCAGGGGAGAGTGAAAGCTCTCTCACACACTTGCTGGGCCTTGACAACAGTACATTTTCAAATAGTTTCATCAGTTGACTCTTCACTAAGTTATGTTTCAAAATTGAATGTAATATTTTATGCTCAATCAATGCAAAATATTCAGAGCACACAGATGATAAATTAGATTTAAATATTCAGCATTCATAAATAAGGAAATACAGAATGCCAACTAAATGGATACAGGAATGGTGAACAAAAATTTGAAAAATATTTTTATATCCTACTATGTGTTCATTTAATATAAAAATGAGAGCAATAATAATTAATGAGAATGGCACTCTCAGAAGTGAAAATCTGGAAGGAACTGATAGCAAAATAATAATAATATGGGAGGATTTGTGAACAGAATTTGTTGTTAAATGGCCTAAGAACCTTCAGTCACTTAGAAAAAGACTAGAGATACTGAAATCTCATATATATATATATATATATATATATATATATATATATCTTCTTTTTTTAAAAAACAAAATGATACTTTATTTACACTGTTTTGAAGTTAGTTACAGATGCCACTAGGTTGTCTAACAACTTATAGCTAACCTTAACCAGACAGGATGTTCATCTCAGGAGTGAGGTAGCTTGTTTGCTTTAGGCACTGGGCCAAGTCCCACCTACATATATTTGATCGATTTCCTAGCTTTGTGGCTTCCAGACATCTCCTTTTTTCATTCTGCTTTGTCAGAGATGAGTGTTCCACTTCACTTAGAGAAACTGTATTTAGAGAAATCTTTAAAGGATTTTTTTCATACTTGAAGCCAGTTTTAAGATTGTAAGTACTTTAATTCAGCAAAATAACCCAATATAGTCCAATAGTACATAACAGTATTGGGTTATCATCAGAACTGGCAATTGCCAGAAGTTGTTGACTTGAGCCTTTTAATGCTCAGCATATTAATATGATATTACTTTTTATATCTATATTTATAATTTTCTGCTGGATGGTTTAGACCAAGTTACAGCAAGACCTATATAACTAAAAATGAAAGTTCTGTGTCTGACAAGGTCATTCAAATACCCTCAGAATTTACCCTGAAAAAATGTACAGCACCTTTTAGATCTTTATTCAGTGTCAGTCATCTGGATGAGTCATGGCCATTGAGAATAAAAGTTTGTACTAATATTGTTTAGACAAGATATCACATCTGAATCTTGTCCTCTGAATAACTACTATGATGACAACAATATGCAATGTGTTAATTATTGTAACCATCATTCTAACCTGTTTTGAAACTGCTTCATTTCTATTTTATCTTTTTTTTTCTCATTAAAATGAGTTTAAAAAGTTAATTGTACTAAGGTGGTACTAATGCAACACACAATGGAATTTAGCCCACTTCAGTACTTTGGCTTCAACATCCTTTCCAATGGCTGTGCCAATTGAAGATTACACCAAAAATAAATGACTGAAGACTATAGTGGCATGTGAGACAATTAAAATATAACTATGTTATCATCCAAAACAAATTTTCCTCATGAATTCAAGGTAAGAAGACAAGACTTGTAGATTAACAGTAAATTAAACTATTTAAAATTAAACTATTATAATTATAATGTATATTTTCCTATGGATAATACTATCATCTCTCATTAAATATAAGTGAATAAAAATTGTAGACGATATTATATCGACAGGTTTTCAGGATGAGAGGAAATGAGGAAAAAAATGGGTGAAGCTGTTAACAATACAGATATGGATGTGTGTGCATGTGTACACACATTATGGACTGGTCTATATACTCTTTTGCTCTCAGTTTTCTTGTTCACCTACCATAACCCAAGCATTCTGATTCATGTTTGTTCTGTACTGGTAAGTGAGATAAACTTGGGATTTATGAGATGACAGAATGTAAGAAGAAATGTCCTAATCAGAGAACAATCTAACCAAGACTTCCTATGCTTGAGAGCTAGAAGATAACTCCCTTGGTCAGAATAACATAAGACATAATAAAGAAAAAGAATCGTTTGATTTGATGGAAGTAACTCATGGCTCTCTAGTGTAACTTTAAGTAAAGGTCATAATAATGTCTGGGAAGAACTAGAAAATACCCATATCTCTATATGTACACAAACAAAAATTGCACATTATAAAGGGAGAAAGGATAGCCCCAGATAGCTTGAATTTATAGAAAGACCTAAAATTTATAATTATCAAGTGTGGAAAACCAAATGTTAATGGTGTTATTTACACAGAGATAGGCATTTTTGAGATATAAAGGGAGACCTAATGAAAACTATTTTTGATACTGACTCTTTAAGGAATACAAATTTTGATTTCTTAAAATGCTTTTACATCAACACATTCTTCCTGAGTGACCAGGGAAGAAAATAATATCTCAGCTATTGAAAGCATATAGACTGAAATTTTAGTTGTACAACCACCATAAAGAAGAACATTTCTCCTATATACTCCAGGATAAAGGAGCAAAAATATCCTGCTTATGACTTAACTTCTTAAATATCTCACAAATCATTTATTCCTCTTGTGCCAGAGAATGATCTTCCAACATATACTGAACAAAAAAAGGAGAAATATATTTGTAGATTTAGTTAAACAAATATTTATAAATTATCACTTTGCCAAACACTATAAGGTTGTTTTACATATGGAAGTTTATGTGTAGAGGCTAATTAGTTAATTGTGGTTTTGTAACATTTAATTGTGCAGTTGTCTTGTGTTTGTTTTTATTTTACTGTACTTTTTTGGTTGAATTATTTTTCAGGGGAGGTTTATTTTTTTTTGTTTTTGGTGCTGAGGACCAAACACAGGGCTTCCAGCTTGCTAGGCGAGCATTCTATCACTGAGCCAAATTCCTAGCTTCTGTAACAGTTAATTGTGGATTATCTATTTCTCTTTCACTTCATAGCTGGCAAGCAGAGACTAGGGAAAGAACACCGGGGTAATATACATCCTCCAAAGACCTGTTCCACAGGACCTATGCCCTCTAACTGCCCCCCCCATCGATAGCAAATATAGCTATTTCACATCAGATCATACTGCCCACAACCAAGCCACCTCTCTAGGATTACCTGGTACATAGCAAAAACAGAAACATCAATATGTGCTTAATTCCAGTATTGGGCAAGTGAATGTTTCCCACCTTATTTTCTGCATCTGTGTTTAAATTATTTATTTAAAAATGAAAAGTATATGTTACAGACAAAATTATAAATTTGCCTTCTGAAAATATTACCTAGGGAAATTTTCTAAAAATTACTTCATGTATTAGATAGCAAGGCACTAAATTTTAAAATATTTCACACAGTTATGGTCCATAACAACAATATTTTTAGTAAACAGTGCTGTTGCTCCTGTAGAAGACACAGTTCACTCTCCAACAACCAGTAGGGTATTTCAAAGTAATAGATATACATTGAGTTTGTCTCATCTCAATCGGTATAGCAATAGCTTTGGCAAGTCATTTAAACAATATTCCAAAATATTTCCATCTTTAAGATGAAGATATTCAGAGAGAAGTCACAAAGTTAAGTGAGCTACTGAAATGGTACTCAAAATCTTAGTACAATGAAACTCATTCTGTTGATGCTGCTAATTTCTTATATATTAAGAGATTTAAATATTACTAAAAGTTAACTTCAGAACACAAACTAGAGTCTGGGCATGGTGGTGCATTCCTGTAATCCCAGCACTAAGGAGGCACAAACCAGGAGGATCACTACAAGTCCAAGCTGTGTAGTGAGACACTGCACAAAAACAAACAAACAAACAAACAAACAAACAAACAAAAAACTCAACTTACTCACTACTGAGGGATTCCTTTTCCTTTGAGAACAGATTTTTTGGTCTGTTCCATGCCACAGCTGTTATAGTTGCTATGATAAAAATAGACAAACCAATGTAGAAACTCATAAGCCAGTTATTGTTAACCTTCTTTGAAGCACTTCCTCTGATTAAACCTAAAAATAAAACACACATTAAAAAAATTACCTTCCATTTGCAACAATTCTTAACTCATGGAAGAAACCTAATATATAATCATAAGATTTTGTCTAAGATCTTTCTCTTTAAACTGGCTCCAGAAAGCTCCAGGGTACTCTACATAATGCATCAGATACAGTGACATCTCACTGTAGCAGTGTAGCAGAGCACCAAAAGTTCTCTATTATATATTGTGGAATGGTATAATCACATGGTGATCCAAATTTACACTGGTAGATTTTCAAAGGTTTGCATTATTAAAACACTCCACAGTTCTTGTGTACATGTCATTTTTACTTTGTAGAATGTTGGCTTTCGATCCTAGGATTATATTTTTATATGGGGATACTGTATCATTACTAAAAGGTCAAGAGCCTAAAAATTAAGTCTTGGTCATGCCACTTCTCAGCACTGGGTATACAGACATAATCTTTGTCTCTATGATCCACGAGGACACATGTTTTGCCTCAGTGCTAGATCAGCACCCAGAGTGTTTCAAGAGTTCAATAATGTTTTCTAACTTAGTGGATGCATGAATAATAAAAATTCAAACAACAGGGAGCAAAAAGTGCTTTATGCTCTTATGCCATTTTTCAATAAGTAATTTGTAGATTGTTCTCATTTATAAACCCCTGACTCAAATATTGTCTCTAATTAAATCTCTGCTACAACAGAAAAATCAGAGTAGATAGATACAGCATAAATTTTGAAAAATATTCTGAAGGAAAAAATCAATGTTATTAATAAATAAAAAATTCAAAGTCTGTTTGGCTTCAATAGTGATATTATTAAGGTGGGTGTGGTGATGCACACTGGTAATCTCAGCACTCAGGAGGCTAAAGCAAGAGGATCATTGTGAGTTCAAGACTAGCTGGACTACAAAGTGAGCTCAAGGCCAGACTGAACTACATAGTGAGACCCTGTCTCAAAAAGACAAAACAACAACAACAACAACAACAACAACAACAAAATATATATTATAGAAAATATATATTTTTAGAAAATAATAATATATATTATTATATATTATTAGAAAAAGTGAAAGTTAAGAATATTTAAATCACATTCTTTGAAAGAAATTATCTTTTAAAACCAAATGTAATTGATATATTTAAGTGTAAAAATATAATTTTATTTTAGAGAAGATAATCAAATTAAGAATTTTACTAAATAGCATTCCAAAGATATAGAAACTTGCCTCTATTCATATCCCTTGAAGGTTTGAAAGACTGCGGTAATGCACAATTTGGAGGCCGGAAACCAGGATTGCAATGACATTGATGTCTGGTATTACATACCTAAGAACATTTTGAAAAATTACATGATCTTTAAAAATAATTCCATCTGAGGTCTCTGTCTATCCTTTGGCATTGCCCTGCAAACCCCACTACATATGTTACTAAATTTGTCTCTGTTTTTATTTAATTCTTTCACAATACCCTTCATATGAGAAGTTCAGGATCTTGGGTGGGGTCCTGATATTTAGCATCTGAATAGGACATTCTAATAAGCCTGAGAGGAAAAATTTACTTGAGTGGAGAGAAGAGGACACAAAACCCTGAGAAGGACTCTGTAGGTCCAATTTAGGGACACCCAAATGGAAAGGGTAAGAGACTGCCAACCTCCAACTGATCATGCAGATGAAACCAAGGACAAATGTCCTAGACACCTTTTACTGGGACCAGATCAAACCCTCAGAGGGAGACAGTTTATAACTGCTAAACCAAGACTCAGTGTCTATTTAAAGCCCATTAGATTAGCTCTCCGGAGAAGGCTCCTGACTTTGGTTGCCTCTACACAGACCCTTCTCAGCTCAAAACAGTTAGATGTAAATAATGGCCATTCTTTAAGTGCAGTTAGGGTTACATCTTCAAAGGGAGAAATGTAGATGGCTAAGTTATTTAGAAATATTGTAGGCAGTCAGAATGGGTTGGGCCTTGGCAAGGTCAGTGTAGAAGACAACTGTGGTTAGTGGTGCAAGTAGCAAAACAAAAAAAGGAGATTACTAAGATCATGGTTACCTCTACATACATGATTTGGTCTTCCTATCTTTATCTTAAATTTTTAAAACTTGGTTGCAGAAAATAAATACTATCTATTAAAGGATCACTGGGAATACATGGGAAATACATGAACCTTACTCTCACTTTACTCTCAGTTTTCTTGTGACTCAAAAGTCTGTCTCAAAGAAAATGTCTTTATGCAGAAAAGACCTACCCAGTATATAAAACCTGGACAAAGCTTATATGCATATCATTAAATAAAACAAATCATTAAGAAAAAGTTACATGATATTTTTTATTCCTACAATATGACATTCCAAACAAAGAAAATCTATGGAGAAATTGAAATGATTGGGTTTTATCAGGAATTAGCAGAAAATGAATTATAAACACAGAACACAGAGGAATTTTTAAAAAATAACTTTATTGAGAAACAAATAGCAATGAGACAGTTTCAAAAACCAATTAGTAGGATAGTTTCAATAATTAATATATTGCATATTGTTGTCTTCTTAGTGGTTGTTCATAGTACAAGAAGCAGATATGATATCCTGTCCACAAACACTATTAGTACAAATATTTCTATTCATTGAATTAAGAGAAAGTAGCTGTGTATCTATCCTAACTACTTTGAATATACAGATACAAAATGGTCCTTCATTTCTATCCCCATTTTTGTTTAGTTTTGTCAGAGAAGGGTATTGCATTGTCATTTCAATACTGTAGGTGTGTGAATTCAGTAAAATAATCCAATATAATCCAGTAGTGCATAATAGTAGTGGGTTATCCGCAGGACTGGCAATGTCAGAAGTTGTTAACTTGAGCCTTTTACAACTTAGCATATTAATATGGCTTTACTTATTAAACCTCTTTTTTAAACTTTTCTGCTGGGTGGCTAAGACCAAGATAAAGCAAGACCTATAAAACAAGAAATGTAACTTTTGTATCTGACAAGGGCAGTCAAATTCACTCAAGATTTATCCTGAAACCCTAAACCACAGTTTGTATATCCTTTGTCAGTGTCAGACATGAGGATGACTCATGAACATTGCTTGACCAACATTTTCTCTGTGAAATCCTGAGAGAATGTTTTCTCTCCCTGTGACTATCAAATATCTTAGGCATAACATGGAACAGGTATTTTCCATCAAGTATTGATATGTTAAGCTTTAAGTCCCTACAGCTTATGAAGGACATGAAGAAAATATGAATATGAAGACTATGAAGAAATTTTAAAGATTAAAAATATTTAAAAATAGGAATAACCAATTATGTATTTTTACAGAGGAATTTAAAATCTAAGCACATACAGCATTATAGCAGGACAGTGATATGACTTTTATTGCCTCTTGTTTTCATTTATTACAACCTCTTTTTTATAAACAAACATTTACTTGAGTGAAAGTATGGCAGTAATGGGTATGAAATGACAATAGACGTATTTAGAAGACCAGAATGACAGGTATTCCAAGCATGACACTAGTATTATGCTATCTTAATACTAGTATATTGCTATCTTCAGTGCAGTTGCTTAGTTCACAGGTATTAGCATATATAGTGAGTCAGGGTGAGAATCCTACCAATTAGGTTTGTCAGAGAAGGGTATTCCATTGTCCAATATCTTGTCACTTCTAGTTTCAAAACCCTGCTGAAGATACTCAGGTTCATTGCCTTAATCATCTTGCGCATATAAATGTATGGTTTTTTCCCTATCATGTTTCTTAGCTTTCTACCTTGCCCTCTCTTCATTGTCTAATCCTTAAGTTCTTGCTTTCCTTTTAATTGTGTTATAACTAAACTTTTTATTTTTATTTCTTCTTTAGAGTCCTTACACAGGTAGACTATATGATATTTACAAATATAGGTCTGGTTTATTTTACTTATGAGTATATCTCCAAGTGGCATCCACTTCAATATGAAGGCTTTGAGTTTATCATTTTTTATAGCTAATACTCCATTGAATAAACATACCACATCTTTTTCATCCATTCCTCAGGTGACAGGCATCTTGGTTGTTTCCAAGATTTGGCTATCATAAATTGTGCTGCTATAATCACAAATACACGTATATCACCATGATATGATGTTTTCTATTCCTCTGCAAAAATTCCCAGTAGAGGGATAGATGGTTTGAATGGGATTTCAGTCCTACTTTTTAAGAACACTGCACACTTATTTCCAAAATGGTAGCACCAGGCTACATTCCTACCAGCAGTAGAGAAGAGTTCCTTTACACTCACAGCCTCTCCAACATTTGTTGTTGGTTGATTTTTTTATGATAGACATTCTTTCTAGGGTGACATGGTATCTTAGTGTTGTTTTAATTTGCATTTATAGAATGGCTAGTGATGCGGAACATTTTTTCTTACATTTACTTACTTCTTTAATTTCATGATCTAAGAAGTGTGTGTTCCTCTCATGCCCATTTCTGGATTGGGTCTTTAAATTTTGGGGCCCTAAAGGTTTTTAGTTCTTTATAAATTCTAGAGAACAGACCTTTGTTTGAGTGCTTGTTAGTCAAGATTTTTTTCAAATTTGTGGGTTGTCTTTTCACTTTGTTGGTAATTTCAATTGATGTGAAAAAACTTCTCAATAACAAGATGTCCCAGTTGTAAATTCGTTCAAGTATTACCCGTGCAATTTGATTTTTGTAAATGAACACTTTGCCTAACCATATGTCTTCAAGAGTTCCTTCTACTTTCTTTTCCAGGATATTTATTGTTTCTATTTTAATATTTAGATCTTTTTTCTGTTTTACATTTCAATTTCTTTTTTCCCGTAATTTTATTTAGAAACAAATAGCAATGAGACAGTTTCAAACCAAATAGGTGGGACAATTTCAATAATTAACACATTGCATACATACTTCCAAGAGGTTAATTGCTGTAGAAGATGAGGACATGATATCTTATTTACAAACACTATTAGAACAAATCCCTCTATTCATTAAGAGAATGTAACAATATATCTACTCTAACCATTTTGAATACACAGATACAAAATGGATATTCATCTGTATAGCCCTTTTTTGTTAAGTTCTGTTATTTGAATATTATAGGTGTGTTAACTCAGGAAAATATTCTAACTAAGAGTTCAGTAGTCCATAATAGTACTGGGGCTGCCGCTTCATGGGCAATGTCAGAAATTGTAGACTTGTGTTTCCTACAGCTCAAAATAACAGCATGGCTTTACTTCTTATACTTCACTTTTATACTTTTCTGCTGGATGGTTAAGACCAACACAAAGCAGGATTTATGCAACAAGAGTTGTAGCTTTTGGGTTTGATAAGGTCAGGGAAATCCCCTCAGGGTTTATCCTGAGATAGTGTACCTCAGATTGTAGAAACTTTGTCAGTGTCAGCCATGTGGATGAGTCACAGCCATTGCTTGGCCAGTGTGCTCTCTGTGAAAGCCTGAGAGAATGTTTTCTCTCCATGTGACTCTCCTTAGGCACACTCTACATCATCGATCACTCTGCTCTTTGGCCCCATAATCTTGATCAGAAAATTTGGGACACTACCAAGTTACATGAAGTTACAGTACAAGTTCTCATATGTCCTGAGTCTTAATTGACCCTGGTAGGCTAGGGCCAAAATGTTGGCTTTTCTTGCAGCCCTCCTTTTTCTCGAACTTTGGTCTGCAAACTTAGGTTGTTAACCATCCAGAAGAAAGGCTTATTGTTATTACCATACAACCTAGGCTGTTAAGCTTAACCTCATTATCTCTCTGAATATCAAACATTTTGGCATAACATGGAACAGGTATTTTTCATCAAGTACTGATATGTTGAATTTCAGCCCCTATAGAATATGATGAAAAAATATTTAAAAATTATAATATATTTTTAAAAATAGGCATAAGAATTATATACTTCTTATGTTTACACATAAGTCCAAAACCTAACTATATACAACCTTGAAGCAGGACAGTCCCACAATATTCCTTTTCCTGTCTCTTGCCTTCGTTCACCACCCCCTTCTTTTTGAACCATCATCGACCTGAGAGACAGCACAGCAGCAACTGGCATGTCATGACAAGCAACCCATATTCAGACAGACCAGAATGACAAGCACTCCAAACATTAAACTACTATTACAGATTACCATCTTCAGTGCAATTGCTTAGTTCACAGGTATCAGTATGTATAGATAATCTGGGTGATACTCTTTCCAATTAACTGCTAGATTCAAAAATCTTCTGGAGATTCTCAAAATCATTGCCTTGCCCATCTTCTAAATATATCTGTATGTCTTGACATTGTCATATTTCCTAACTCGGCTCCTTTCCCTCTTTTGA